AACAGCGACGAGCCAGAACATTTTCACATTAAACTCAGTGAATTAAGAGTTAATTTCGACCAGAACAGAGTTGGTGAATGTTGGAACAATGGAAATATTAACCAATTAACGGTTCTGGGTTGGTTTTTTATATTTGTTTGAATAGGAAGTGTGTTTTACGATGGCAGTTAAACTACTCTCAGATCAGTAAGAGAGAAACTTGAATTCAGAAGGTGCATGGTTGTACTGATGGTGGCCAAAAATATCGCCCAACCCTAACAAGCAGTAGAGGGGCAAAGTGATAGGAATAACAGAGAGTTGGGAAGCGTTAGTATTAGCATTTCTCATTTCGTGAATTATTAATAAAAAGGGAAGGCAAGGTGAAACCATAAATAGTGCAATCAAAAAGCAAAGACGACCATTGAGCACAGGAAGCAGTAAAATAAAAACAAAATAAATGAAAGCAGTGAAGGACGAGGGTTTCAGAGTGCATCAACGTGTAATCTGAAGTGACTTAAGTACGGAGTCTTGTAAATCCCCAACTGAATAACGCACATGAAGACTCCACGTCACATCAATGACCGTCCCGTTTTTGTAACTTTAAATCACGAGCGGAACACGTCTTCTTTCACTTTTATTTCCCGTCATACTCACATGGGTCTCAGATCCATGAAGAAAGTCATTGAGAGCTTCTGGGTCACTGCAGGACGAAAACAATGTGATTCACCAGAGTACAAGACGAAGCTCAAAAAGAAGAAGAATTTGTTGAACAGTTTGTTGAACATAAGACGGACTGAAGACTTACCAAATTACATCTAGAAGGCACCTGCCGTCTTCATCATCCATGACAACTGTTAAAGACGAAAAAGGTTTCAAAGTCCACTCACGATTCATTTTATTATCAATACACAAAGGGCCCTTTCTCCACATTAACTACGCTTACAGTTACATTTGTATTATTATAACACCATTTTGTATCGCTTTATATTGTTATTTCGTGGTACAGTGAGGTTTGAGAGATGATTTAAAGTCGGATTTTGACAGTATGAACAACAATTACTAAACTGAAAGAGCCTCCGTGTGGTTATTCATGATTAACAATCATTTTATAGCCAAAAAAATAAAATGACATTTGTTGAATTCATTCAGCAAAGCTCTGCACAATATCACTATCACACTATTTGAGCATGAATGATCCTTAGAGTAAAGCTCTTTGTGTTGCTGTGGTTATGCTGTACTAAAAACATCCCAAACTCTAGTTACTCTACACTTTCCAACATATCACACAAGAGTAAGTTACGTTCAAAATAACTTTTAATTAAGGTTGTTGATCTCTCTTAGATAGCACGCGGTACACGGCTGGTTAAGTGCAGCATGAAGCCTTAAACCTGCTTTAAACTGATTTTAACTTTCATTATAAAATTACTTTATTTACTGATTGTCCACCGCAGACCAAATACAGAAACCTGTAGTACGTTTGCTGATCTACATGTCTACATTTGTGTGTTAAAATAACCAATTCCATTTTTTTTTAAATCCCACAAATCAAATTATGACTAATGACTCAAAACATTACATCACATATTGCTGTCAGACATCTGAGGCTTGCTGGGATTTTTAGTGAGAATAAAGCAAGCAGAGGGATTTATTAAAAGGCTGCAGGACTTCAACAACTACATTAACAATTATAATGAAGTTACACAGCTTCCAAACAAAGTTTACATTCTTAAAACACATTAAAACACCCCTTATGAACACGCATACGGTTCCATATATGTAAATAAAGCTTTTAAGAACTCGTCTAGAGATCAAACAGCACATATATCTTTGCTTACACACCGAGAATCAGCGGATGGCAACAGACAACAAACTGAAAACGCGCGGTTTTCACGCAGCCTGCAAAGATTAATCCAGTGCGGGGCTCGTCGGTGAATCCACCACCAAGTCTCTCCTCCACTTGTGCGTTAACACCTCCAGTAACACAAATACACGCAATAAAACGCAGATTGTTTATCCGCGGCTGTGAGGGGGGACGTATCCCCCGGTTGCCGCTCCACAAAGGCAGCGGATCGTAGCCATTACTCGGTCAGAGCAGAAGCAGTGCGCAGGATATGAATGGAGACACTGCAAGCGGCTTGCTACATGCTAGCTGGTGTTTTCAGAAAGCTCTTTGCATGCACAGTTCCTCGATTAGTTACCACACGCAGTATTTAACTGCAACGCGACTCACTTAACACCCTAATTTCACAAAACGTTTGAGTTCAAAGCCCCGTTCCGCCTCTCGCGTCCAGCGTTTTTAATGGGTTGCATTTCGTTAGCCTCCTTAGCTTAGCTCCAAAAAACCAGCTATCAACAATATTCAGACGCACAGCTAGCTTGAGCCTTTGACATTCAAAACAAACCACCGAGTGGCACAAACTGAACACCCCTCACGCCACAGCGGCGCCGCGACCCCACCGAGACGACGCGGTTTTGTTTTTTTTTAAAGTGTAACCGCTATCTGCCTCTCCTTGCAAACCACAAAAAAAAAAAAAAATATGAGTAAATGTTGGGAAACTCTTGGATGGAAGGGGGTATGCTTGGGAATTTTTTTTTAAGGTGCGGGGAAAAAGGGGGTCGCGCTGCAAGTGTGGCCCCTCGTTTGCAGTAGCTGCGCGGCTCGCGGCGTCGGCTGCAAACGCGAACGGTTTGCAACTTTGTAACAGTTTTACGGATTAAAGCAGAAAACGCTACATGTAACAAATCACCCGAGACGATAGAGGTGCAGGCAGCGCGGTCTCCAGGACAGCCTCGCACGGGCTGCTGTACAGGACCCAGCTACAGGCAGGAAAACAGGAAGACTTCGTTTTCGCCTGATTCAAATGTGTGTGTCGTCTGTGTAGTTATATATTTTTTTTTTAAAAGGAGATTTGATGCGAAATGCTTTTTTTTAAAATGTAATTTTAACGTTTTTTTTTTGTTTGTTTTTACTCAGTTAATTTGATCTGTGCTTTTTGTGTGAGGTGAAAATAACATACTGGTTGTTGTTGTTTGTTAAAAACATTAACTAATGAATGCCGGATAAGGTTGGGTCTCTGAGTGTTCCCCTAAAAAAATACATTTATCACAACACATTTTGTTAATAGTTTGTGTCTCCTGTGAAACCTCCTCACAGTTTTGGACATGGGGAATTTTGGGAATTTATATATTGGCTTTACCTCCTATTGGCTGTGAAGGTAATCACAACGCTACAATCATCCAGAGAACTAACAGTCTGCAGTTTGTCTACACAAACCACAAGCTGTGAGTCAAACTGGAGCAACGTAAGCCGGTCAGATACATCACAGAGGAACGTTTTAGACGTTATGACTTTGTAGGATTGTGTATAATGCACAATAGAGGTCATGTTTTTGGGAATGCATGTTGTTGTAAAGTTCCCTTTTCAGGATTGAGAGGACCATAAACCACTAGAAGGCGACTATTTCACATTTTATAAAGCCTAAAATTATTATGAAAGTGAGCGTCGCAGCATGGAGGAGCAAACCAACGATTACGTTAAGACTGAATATTGTGGTTGTGTTAAAAAGCGCCACAGTTGAGAAAATGGTTTATTAAAATCACAAAATATCCTTAAACAATCAAGCAAGTGCTTTGTAGTCATCTCAGTTCTGCTATGGCAGGACTTAAGAAACAGAGAAATAGTAAAAGTAAAGTAAGTCAAAAAGTTTATGTTATGAATCCCTAACAGGCTGCAGTAAATATATAATAATTATATAATATAATAATTAATATATATAATATAATATAATATAATAATAATATTAATAATAAAAACTCTCTCTTTACCCTGTTTACATGGCAGCAGTGATAGCTGAATGCAGACTTTTATATAAATATAAAGTTGCTAAAGGAATCTATAAAGATAAAAGATGTAGGTTTATTTTTTCTTCACTTTTTTATTTTGACTTATTTACTTATTTTGCATTAGTATGCAGCACCTCAAAACCCCTAAAGATTAATTACAGCAGAGTTAATTAGCCTCCTGAGAGGAAACAAATACATTTTACTCTACTTCTGCAACTGTCCTTACATCATTTATTTAAATAATCATTATGATATGGAGGCTGTACGCTTAATAGGATAACTTAAATAATATACACAGCAAGAAGGTTTTTGGTGTGACAGTTCTTCTCTTACTGTCCAAAGACATTAAGTGTAAATGTGGGAGTCTGTCTCAATGTTTCAGCTCTGTGACTGACTGTGATTAATCAAATAATAGCTAATGGATGTATGTATGTGGGTCTGATGTTCTTTAGAGGGAATATTTTTGGGAAATTTCTATTTTTTTTTGGAGGGAATTTGTGCAATGCTTAAATTAGTTAGTTAGTTAGTAAAAGAGTCTATATGACCAACATTATTCTGTATGGGACATTAATATGTTCAGTCATCATATTATATATACATATTATTATTATAAATATTATTAATATTATCACATACTGTTATTAACAATAACACTACCATCATGTCATCAGTACTATTACCATCATCTTGCAACCACAACTCTTTGCACCTTATTTACCTTTTTATCTTTTTTATCTTTTTTATTTATTCTATTGTTGTATTTTATTCTAATGTATTTTATTCTATTGTATTTTATTCTATTGTATTTTAATGTACCTGGCTGCCATGACGACCCAATTTCCCTTCGGGGATTAATAAAGTCTATTTATCTAATTTATAATAATTAATGATAAATATGAGATGCCTTCAAGTGTTGTCAGAAATATAAACGTTATGTGTTGACGAAGCGATAAATAACACAACAGAGAAGTTGTTTAACATTATATAAAAAAAATATTTAGTGTTTATAATTCTAACTTCGATTCCAACAACACTAAAACACGCCCTCGTGTCATGTTATGTTTTTTTTTTTATTTTTTTAAATTATAAAATAAATCCCCGCCTGAGAACAACTTGGATCAATATTAAAGCTTGAGGAAGACGGAAGCTGGAATTGACGTAGCGCACCTGAACGCAGCAGCACTGGTGTCACATGACGGAGGTGACGGTTGCCCGCTGGTGACGTGACAAACCGAACCCCGCTAGCCAGCGCTGCTTAGCAACTTCTTCTTGTTTGTTCCTCGAAATCACGAAAAAAATATATAAAAAATAAAATGGACAACAGCGGGAAAGAAAAGGAAGCAATGGCTCTAATCGCCGAGGCCGAAAAGAAAATGAAGTCGTCGACGTCGTTTTTCGGAGCGCTGTTTGGGTGAGTGTCAGTTAGCGACCGTTGGGCTAATTCCGCTAAGCTACAAGCTAAAAAGCTAAAAAGCTAAAAAAGCTAAAAAAGCTAAAAAAGTGACCGGATAAAAAACACTTTAACGCCGCCGCAACACGTTAAATCTGCCGTTAAATTGTTGTAATTAACGTTATAATAAAGTGTTTAACGCTGTTGGTTAGTTAACCCCCTCGTTCAGCTCTTAATTTAGTCCTAAAATAAAGATTTTAACACTAAAAGCGTCTGTTTGAGGGGTTTAAATCCACCAGCTGCTTTAAAAAATGACATTAAAATAAGTGTTTTATATTTTATAAGTGTCGCTGCTGTAGCGCCACCCACCGGTGTTTGTTTACACTCACAGTGAGGAAGAAAAGTTACATAAATTATATTATTATTATTATTATTTCTAATAAATAAATAAAGTTAACACAGCTGAGAATGGACACTAGCGATCCAAAACTAGTTTTATTGATTAGTTTGAGTTTATGTTTGAGTCACAAACTTTCATTCAGGCCCAGAAACTACGAGTTATATTTGTAAACAGACATATTTTGGGCCAAAATGTTAATTTTCAGCTGTTTTC